GTAACATACATGTATATGGTGGGGGAGGGTGGTATTAGACATTGTTTTTCTTCACGTTGGATTTTGGTTTGGGATAGTTGGGTTTTGTTTACATCATAATTGATGTACGTTTATACAGTTCGGGACATAAATAAATGACAGGTGGATTTGCTGAAGTGAGAATTTCCCATGTTAAAAATAAGAGAATTTTCAAGAGGCCATACATCAGTGGATGAGATTATACAAAATGTGAAATATACAAATTTTAAGGGATATGTATCTAGACAATATTGGAAATTATGGACTTTCAGACGACCATAATTAGGAAATGGTGATCGAAAATCGACCTGTCATTTATTTTTGTCCCCAACTGTATGTTTTCTTTTTCTTGCTGAGTTCTGTAACAAGTTGTGGTCCTTTCCCTTTGGTACTTGTGCGTACGTATCTGAATAAATCGTCTCTGAGCCTAACCTTTTCGGCAATTATATTATTATACTCGCTAAACGTTGTCCTTCTATTTTCATTTAAAGTGTTTGATTCCTCTCATTCATAAAGGTTTTCCGATTGTTCCCTTATTGCTCTCTGTAATGTATGAACCATGAGTAATGGCTGTTAGGTTGAATAATGGGCCAGCCCAAGGGCCCGATACCATTATTTGCGCCAGTACGAATGGTTTATATTACTTAAAACCCACACTGACTCTTATGAAAGATCAATGCTCCACGATCCATTTAAGCGTACACTGAAATACGAGCAGTATTCATCTGTATTTCTTTTATATTGACTTTTCAACTATTGATACGTCTTCTGTGCCACACTGAGCTGACCAGGTGTCCATCCCTGGAAACAACAGAAAAATAATATTTCTTTTGTCATGTTTGAATAGAGAAATAAAAAATGTTTCTTCTTTTGTTACAACTGTACATTCTTCAAAATAGAATACAGTTCATTCTGTTGTGTTGCTAACTTAGAAAGTTGATATCGACGTTGTTTTCCAGGAAGTTCCGTAGATGGTTGACCTTACAAGTATCTGGGATAAACATTAACGAGCGCAATTATAGACATTAAGATCATTGAAATAAGGGTATTTGAATAAATTGATCATTTCCGCTTGTTTCTGAATTGATTGACAAATCATTAGTCATACATCTGTCAATCTCCGAGGAGATGACTGCCCAGTGATACTCACGGAGATTTTTGGGCATATTCTTAAGGGAAAGTTTGTTTCTATTGCTTCTTCGTATCGTCGCATTTTCGTCAATCAAAATATTTGACGGTTAAGCGGTCCATATTCCTCCATAAGCTGTGCAATAAGAACCGTGCCCAAGTATCAAAATGTTTCCATTTACAAACGGCGATTGATTGTATTCCCATTAGTTCGGCAATTACGAAAACCTGTTCGTCTAATATCTATGTCATCGGGGACGCTTTTTTCTGAAATGTGATTTTTGTACATTGAATTATTTGCTTGACGTCGACCTTAGTGTATATACAGGGTGACTCTAGAGTAATGAGTACACCTTCATGTTTAAGGTCATGTTTGATACAGCACCATTTCTAGCACTAGATGATTCAATTTTCAATAAAATGATATATCACTCAGTCAAAACTATCAATTTGTTGATCAGCCCTACGAGGTATTGCGAGAGTGTAGAATATGCCTGCTTTAGAACACTGAGTCCACTATCACCCAGTAAACTTGAACAATGGTTAAAGCCACACATAGACATTTTACCTATATTTTAAAACCCCCCAAAAAGTAATAAATATGACACTGTGCTATAAAAAATGAGATAGAGAAAATATTGTGGCTCAGAAATAAAGAAAAAAAAGAAAACTTGATATGCCACGGCCGGGATTCGAACCTGCAAAATCAAGGGTGCAAGACTGATTCCCAATCTCTGCCACAGCCTAAGCTCGACTCTAATGATGCATTTTTAGTAATCATTCTTAATTTCAGAAAAACGTTTTTCCTCTACACCACAATTATTAAATAGTAGTCAATAATCATGGTAATAATATTACAATACATATCTGAGTAAATATTCTAAGCCAAATTCAGAATCAATGCTGTTAATCCAGTTTTCATTTTGAGAATCTACTTCCTGTCATGACTGTCAAAAAAACATGGCTTCCAAAACAAAATTCTTGCTTCCAATTTTCAAAATGATATATATTCATGGATCAGCTAATTTTGGCACCTGAAGCCATCCTAATAGAAAGGTAAGACTATTTTCTTGAAAAGTATTTCTTGAAATCCCCAATTTCGGCCTCTGGAGTGTAAGAAAGTCACTTTAAATATGTTAACTCGGAGTGTTGACTTACTACTTTGAACGAGTTGCAGATATTTTTGCATTTAATAAACAAGGCATTAATATGCAAAATGGCACAACCTTTTTCGAGACGCCGACCATCGAACGCCGACCACCAAACGCCAACCGCGAAATACCGTCCACAAAAAAAGTTGGAGACAATACTTCACTTCTGGGGGTGACATAAAATCTGAATGATTAAACAGAGAAATAGAGAGAATTGAATGTAAATATGTACTCATTTTGGGTCATCCTGTATGTAAAGTTAATTTACTATGTCAATACTTCTACATTAATATTAAGACTGTTACATCACATCAATAATTGAGTAAAAAGTATAAATGAGGAAGCAACAAATTGACCACTTGATTGGCCCGCATCCTCCACAGCCATTCTCAGACTAAATGGAGTATTTCAAAACAGTCCAATACTCTCCAGGTACCGGTGTATTTGCACCTTTCTGTTTTTAAACCATCAATATACCTTCTATATAAGGAACTGTCAGAAGGGTTTTCTCTCTCATGGAGGATCCTGAGATGCAACTCTGGCTCCTTTAGAGTCACTGAACAATTTCCCCGATCCCTATCTACAATTGCAAGATATTGTATCTGGAGGGATGAACAATCACCGAATTACTTAATACATTTTTACCGCTGATGGTACTTGAGCACGCGCTTGATTTCATTCCCAAACTCGGTCACCAAATTCGATTTTCATATCGATCAAGTGAATGTCATTGGTTATGTCGGGCCATCGTTTTGTTTTGATAAGAGAAAACTGATTACGATATCAGGAATGAATGAGGAGATTATTTCAACTATATTATTTGTTGGTACTATAGCTTCTACTGGGTACCACAAACTATAGACCCAAGCCCCCTTGTCCGCCTTGGCTTGCCTGAAATTAATTTCTAAAGAAAGCCAATCATGGATCGGCCCGGTATCCAAATTCCATGTCAGTTTGCCAGTGGTTGTTTCTAACATACCAAAGCGCAACACCATCGACTTCCAATGTGTTGCAAATGGAATTTTGCTTCGTACGCATCTGGTGCTTTTGTCAGTAAAACCTAATCCGAACGGCGTTGGGACTGGTGTGATCGCTGTCTACGTCCATCCTATATTAAGTCCAATGGACGTATTTTCGTAGGAATGGTTGTCCGTCAGGAAAATATGTCCGTAGTCATTATCATATATATTATAGTCAGGAACATAAGTCCGATTAGGACAACCTATCCTATAGGACTGGAGGTTCGAACTCAGGTCTTACTATACGGACGTATTCTTCAAGCGGATTACTGCTCTTGTTACACCAGCCAAAAGTGTTCGGATTGGCAGGTGTTGATTTGAAATGGGGCCGATAAAGCGTTCATATTGAGAAATGATCTGATTAAAGAGGTGTTCTAGCTAACATATAATTTACTTCACTTTCACACACTTAAGATTTTCCATAAGACCCTTTCATCTTGCTGTTGAGTCACAAGGTCAATGAGTTATAATTACCTAATGTAAAGCATCTTAATTTGAAAAACGCCCAAATAATGAATCGCACAACAACACTCAACTATAGTGAACGAAGGCTATTCTCCAATTTTAATTTCTCTGGGGTGCTTAAACTTGACATTGCTAGGATAATTAAAAAATAATATTGCACTTGACGTAACCGATCGCTATCAATAGCCTTTTGAAATAACTCTGTGTGCTTAATTTTATTTGCTTTGTGGGGTTTGGTAAGTAAGATAGCCCTTATTCCATAGAAAACAGTTTCTCAAATTACAACGTGATTATCAAACCGATACAAATACAATATATCGTTGCGTCAATAATGAACTCAGCTATCGAGTTCGGAATTTCCAGCTGAAAAAATAGGACTTCAATGTTATCGTTTCCGGGGCATTTGCAATTGTAGCTACATATTGTTTTGACTGATAATCTTAGCGAATTATTAGGATTAAATCAAAATGAAAATAATACAGTTTTGTCTGTTTAAGCAATTGATTTATATTTGTAGGTTTGATGCTCCTATCGTCAGAGAATTGATCGCGAAAGAGGCGACGAGTAGCTAGAGTTGATGCAAGTTATCTCCGCAGCTACTGATGTATTTCATTCAGCCCTTTACAGTCGGAAACGGATTTGCATGAGATGTGCCCTGCAAGGTGAATTCTGTTACACTGGTTTAACTTCATAAAGTGGATCAATTTACCGATACCAGCTGGTCTACATAGAATATAGTGTAAAAATTCCGACAGGGGGAGGAGGCGCATTTTCTAAGCGGATCTCGCTGAGACCGAGTCGGGATTAACGGCAAATTGATTCTCGAAGACTACTCATCTAAATGGAATTATCAATCGGGAAACTTGCAAAAAGTCAGTAGTTTAGTTTCATATAACTAAGTAAGTCAAGGAAAACGACGATTTATTGAATAGGGCTTAATGAGAGGATAAGTTGCGATAAAAGCGTTTACATTTTATGGTTATTGATGACATCATGCAATTATGCGTTAAACGCGCAGCATACTCATTGGCAATAGATATCTACCTGAAATGTGTCTATTTACTATTTTAGTCTCTAATTATTAATTTCTGAGCGACATTGTTGATTGTGGAAAATCACTGCTTATTGCCAAAGAAAAAACAATTGCTTATTATTCAGTATAATTGATAGACAAGATTAAAACCTATATTTACAACACGAGAATGGATACAATACAAAAAAACAGCGGAAAACCACTTCAACACGATGGATAAAAATCCTAATTGATTGATTGATACATAATCTCCATTGGAATTTAAACCAAGAAAATACAACCAGTTTGCGGAATTTTAAAACACTTGCAAGGATTAGCAAGTTATGCTTGGATTACGTTGATTTGGGATTACATACATTTGCAATGATTAAGATAACATTTATTGTAATGTCTATGTTATATCTTATACAAGGTAAGTTTAGAAGTTATTTAATAGGAGGGATGGAATATGAATTTTATTCCGAGGGAGAATATGATATTAGCCAAAGGCGACAGTCCGAGTGCCAATATGATATTTTTCGAGGCCAATGTCGTATTTTCTTGAGGAAAACATTCATATTCCATCACGGCCTTCAATAAACTATTTATTTCATAATATTTTTTCTGAATTTTATTAATTTTCACGTTTGATTTGTCATTACCAAAGGATGGTGACATAAAAATGATACAAAAATGATTTGATAGTAACATAGTAATTATACAACTATCATTACTTCAGTATATTATGAAATCTCATTTCGTTAACAACTTTCTCTAAACGTGTAAGGCCAGTTAATGCAAACTACTGGCAAAACATTTTAAAATCAAATCAATGGAATGTCTTCTGTGTAACACTTACTTCATTCTCAATCTTTACGCCAACAGCAACTCATAGAAAAGGTATAGTTATGTGAAAAATTCAGTCATTAAATCAATAGAGGTTTTCCAAACTCTTTAGATTGCAAATGCATTTAATTACATGTAGAATTTGTATTTTAAAACATGTTTCTGATTGCAAATTTCATGTGTAATATTATTAATATAACAGGGTAAAATTGTATAGGCTCCATATTCGTTTTGCTTTTGTAATCTCTGTCTCTTAAAGTAGAATATTCTCGTGGGATGCTGAATGTTGTAAATTACCTTGACTGATTATTGCCTCTAAATTATGCTATTATCAAGTAGTTCAGCAACTGACTTAAATAATGGCATCAACAAATACGTAAATACTTTTGAAAATAAAATATAACTTAGTTTAACGATCCTCCATTTGAATCAAGGAGGATTTGAAACCGTTATTCCAACTCGATACTCCGTTGCCCGGCGTACACCGATTTGGTAACATTATTACTCATATTTTGAAGACTAGAACTGCCAAGGAAGCTTGAGTACGACCAAAATATTCGAAATGGCCATCTTTCATTGAAAAACTTGGTCCAAAGAGAGCCTTATAGAAATATTTTTACTAAATTGTTCCACTGAAGGCAACGGAGTATCGAGTTTGATTAATGGCTGCCAATCCTCCTTGTATTTCAGTGAACGTTTCGTGCCAATTCAGAAGTGTTCCTTCTGATACGCATCACATCTTTATGTCTTACAACTAGCAATATTAGTCTAGAAACAGATATAAGGCCGTGATCTCTAACGATGCGTGTCAGTGAGGTATCAGCTAATTCTTCCCTCATTGTTAATAGTTTCGATGCTTCTCGCAGAACTTCGGCTTTAGGTGCGATCTGGCTGTGCAGTAATTTGTGAGAGATTACGATCAGCTTACCCGTTTAACGTTAGAATAAGGCAATGGAGTTTTTCATTAAAGGGGCACTATCCGTAAATATATTCAGTCGAAATTTTAACCTCTGCTTTTGTCACCAGAGCATGTTTCATTTTTGCCAAATGCCATTTTAATATTGATCAATTAAAAATACTTGAGGTTCGGTTTGGAGGATTTTGTAAAGTTATATTCTAAACATGAGACCTTATTTGCGCAAATTTGAGAGTAAATGCCAAAGTTAAATTCTGGGAAAATTCTGTGGCTCATTTTGTCGCTCTGGATTATCAAGAGGGTGTGAAAGAGGTTACAGGGGCTTTATTTCTCTTCAACAATGGAATGTTTGAAAAAATAGAAAATCGACTGTTCAAGAATTCCAATGAAATACGATGAGAGCTCAATGTCACGTAGAAATGGTAACTGGTTTTTAACCTTAGTCAATTGTCACGATCACCATCTTAGACTCTGCCAGAAGTCACTGATAGGCTTCATTACGTTACATCAAAACCATTCAAAGCTTGTTGTTAGTAAGATATTCTAATTCGTTTTCCTCTAATGACAAAACCGAATGCCACATTGATCTGTCTTGAATTGTTTCAAAGAAAGTCAACAAGGACTCGACCGGTCTTTAATCGTTCAGAAAATTACGACAAGTATGTGTTTATGAGGCCATAGACCTTATCATTCACGTAAATCCTGAGATTTTCATTCAAATGAGGAGAAGGTAATAGAGACACTTGTGAATGGTCCCTGTGGGTATGGTGGTGCCACCTTTTGTCGCTCAATTTTTCGGCGATTCTTTTAAATATCAAATTTGTCAAAATTGGGAAATAATTAAGAGATCTTGCGCGAGAAAATTGTGATGTTTTTATCGATGTAATTAGAAAAAATCTAATTCGCCATTTTTGTTTCTTTTTATTTAGGACGGTGGGTCATCTCAATACAGATTAATATTAAAGACGTACGTCATCTTTGAACCCTGGGGTCCCCCCCCCCCTCTTTCCCAACAGACAATTTATTGAATCACCTCGCCGCACAAATGAGAGTGACTTGTCGTTTTATTCATTTTTCATTGATAATTGAGCCTCGCCATAGGAAAACCGGTCTTATCCCAAAAATTTAAATTGTGCTACAAAGCCAAAAATGTGCCCAAGATTAAGAGGAAAATGTGCTAAATTCAAATCAGTCTTTTGGTCTATACCTGCAAGGAAAAAATGTTAAGACACAAGCCATGGCTCATTTGAAAGGTCTCTTTGTGCTTTTTAAGAAAAACAATCTGTGATAAGACCCCTTTTCCTGTGGCCTGGCTCAATTGTGTAAACGTTTTTCGTGTACTTTGTCAAATGTCGTCGTTTATGTCGCTTTAATTTGATGAATATTTTGTCCGTTGCCGTAGTTTGACAGTACATTTTGACGCAGGAATATATTGGACATAAATGCTGTTTTTATTATTTTGTCGCGTTGTCGCTCTACAATGACGAATGCTTTGTGCCAGTTCACTGTAAAAGCAGACAAATAAATACGACTCTCACAACATTCGTTTTCATAACTATCATCTGATATAGAAACCGCATAAAGTTTAGATTTTGTCCATGCATTAGATGCGTTCGTTTTTAAAGTAATATATCAAATGTGAGTGTGATCACTGGATGATTAATGTTCTTCTTCACTTCTACTGCATTTGGACATTCCTGCATAACATCTCCGAGAACCTCCAACATATTACAAAATTATGCCACCACGTAAACACAGGGACGTACCAAATCAAGCGTGACATTTAAACGCGCGGGGCATGGTACAATACGAGGATGATGAAATTTGAGCAAACTGATGGTTTAATCGTTTCAGGAAGATCTGGTCTAATTTCTCTATATTTTAATATGTGAATGTAACAATATCCTAGACAGTGAATAAAAGTTATGACACATCATATCAGTCTTTCTTCTTTGGTTTACACTGTCAATCTTAAATTGCCTAAGATTGAGTTAATTTCATATGTCTTAAGAAAGTCGATATGTTTTTTCCCTTTCAAAGTCATCGACACTTCCAGGATACGCACAAAAGGTAAGTATTTAAAGAAGGATGATTACATAGTGATATACCTTCCGGGTCACGATGATCTGACATTTTTCTAAGAAAACACTAGCATATTATTGCAATAAATAATAATGTGTGTGCTTAGTGAGTTTCAATATAAGGTGGTGTTGTCAAATGTCGGGATATCGTTACCCTTTTAAATCAGTTTAATTTCGCTGAAATTATTCCAGGGCTACTCTCATTAAGATATAAAATCTAACATGATTTCTATATGGAATTCAATGTTAGACATTCAATCTTGCAATTGGTCTGTAGCGAGAAGTAGGAAAATAGATAATAACTACTCAATCATTCGATCAGATCACAGCACTACGTATAGTTAACAGATGAACCTTGTCATCTCCTTCCTTTTCAAGTCTTGAGACGCCATTGATTTAATGAGTTATTTTACCCGATCTGAGTGGTCTCAAAATCCTACAAACTGAGTACTTCATCAAACATGACAGCGCAAGACAGATGTAATGAGTATCAAAATGCTTCAATCAGTTGCTGGGACCGAACATTTTCTTAAATCGACGAAATTAATTTTTCTGTTGACATAGGAAAAACATTTTTTGATTACGTAATATTTGAAGCAGTTTCAACAGCGCACGATCTACACTCTCATTAAAAAAATTGGCAATACAAGGTTCGGTTCGGTAAAGTAATAAAGTCAACGTACATAACACATTGGAAAAATAAATATTAAACATAAATAGTATTTCCATATTTTGGAGGGGAGTGTAAATCAGATATCTAACGACATGCAACAGAACGCAACATAGCAAACTGTTAATATCTTAATAGTTTCTCACATAATTTACGATTACTTAACCTTACCTGAGTTCAATAACACAATTATCAGTCTTCTCAGCCAATTTAAGGGATAGCCACTGGAACATTAGATGCGCCCTCTCAAGAGATTTACATAACGTGTCATACTTTTCCTGTCTAAGCAACATAGCCCAATACTTCGATTTCCCATTTGTTATCTTGCCAGTTATTCACTTAACGCCTTTGTGTAAGAGAAATCAAACGCCAATGAGAATAGTCTATCCATGTCAGCACATTACCCGAATTGTGTTTTTTCGATGGTTTTTTAATCAAACGCACCAAAGCGGAACCTATCTAAATTACATGACACGTTCTTTCATAAGAACATCCCAGTCAGATGACGTCAAATTAAATAAGTATTTTACCCAAAGAATTTTCTCAGTTAGTTTCAATACATATGACTAGATCAGATTTTTTCTGGTTATGATACTGTATGTTTAAAAAATATAGACCTAGAGCAGGTCATTAGATCGACGATCGCAGGGCTAAGCACAAACGTTTTCTGTAACCCAAAAGACCGAAGGGAGTGAGGGGTTCGAAAGCTTTTGGGCCTAGCCCCAACGTATTTATTACTCGATATAATATCTAATCTGAGGTCTATATTACCATGGGCTTTCAACTAGTTGAAAGCCCATGATATTACGATTCCAACATCAAATATTTTTGCAAAATCGTCACTTCATTTCTTACTTCCGGTTTAAGCGTTTAGCACAGAACGAAACACTTAGTTTAGATTATTTTGGAAGCCCATGGTATAGACCAGGTATTGTATCGACGAATAAATACCGGGTGAATTATTTACTTTGTTCACAGTTTATAGAAGGCGTGAATATAGTCACGTTCGAATTTTAAATATGATACAAAGAAATGTATTGAAGCTTCGACTTACATAGAATAATGAAAACGTTTAAGAGATACTCTAGATAGTGCCCCACATTATTACGATATAGGTCCAGGATGGGCAAATATTACTACGCAGTGGTGAATGATGCGTATACGTACCAAAAGCAAATACGAAAACTAAACGACAATCAATTGTTTGTGGGTGTATTGTAAAACATCATGCTGTACATAAACTTTGATATATCAATAAACTTGTTCAATAAATCAGTATTAAAGCATAACAACTAATTGTCCGTTTAACATGGTTTTGCGATAACCTATACTGGTGTACCCGGAAAATAATTAACAAGGGACCAAAAGTGGAAGGGGGGATGTTTGGACACATTTATAAAGTTCAGCCAGATTTTCTTATTTTTAGCCAATTGAAAAATCCCTGGCCCATTTACCTTGGTGCCTAGCCCCAAGGTATTTATTACTCGATATAATATCTAATCTGAGGTCTATATTACGATTCCAACATGAAAACTCATCAAATATTTTTGCAAAATCGCCACTTCATTTCTTACTTCCGGTTTAAACGTTTGTACATAAACTTTGATATATCAAAACTTGTTCAAAAAATCAGTATTAAAGCATAACAACTTGTCCGTTTAACATGGTTTTGCGATATCCTATACTGGTGTACCCGGAAAGTAATTAACGAGGGACCAAAAGTGGAAGGGGGGATGTTTGGACACATTTATAAAGTTCAGCCAGATTTTCTTATTTTTAGCCCATTGAAAAATCCCTGGACCATTTACCTTGGTCAATTTGATATTCCCCTTTGTACAATGGGGAATGTCATAATCGGTATAAAACACATATGCAATCCCTCCTAGTAATTAACCTATTTGTCTCTTTTATTATTGTTTTTATATATCAGACCTGTTTTATTTCTACTACTAGTATACTGTCCTGGTTGTATTAAACTGTTTGATTTTCCAACATTTCATGACAAAATTAATTTTGCCCTTTGTTGATGATAGGTCTAATACATAATCAAATCACGAATAAAACTCATATCATTTTACATAGTACTCTAAGGATTCATTTGTTCTTGATATTTAATATTTATTGGCATAGATTAACATCGAGAGGAAAATGCCTGGGGTAGACTTCGTTTATTAGATTATCAGCATTTTAATCGCACAAAGGAGCATTTAGGATATTAAAATTGCTCAAGTTTACAAATGAAATTGTTCAGTGATCGAATTCAATTGGATACTAATCTATTTCCTGGATGTGATTGTTATTGTTTCAGTGGTCTGCGCGGATGACTACGAGATGAGGCTCATCCAGGACCTACTCCACAACTACGATGACAGAGTGAGGCCCTCTAGGAACTCCTCCGAATCTCTCAATGTCACATTTGGGGTAGCCCTTGCCCAAATAATAGATATGGTAAGTTGTATATATTATCGAGCCTGTGTATACCTTTCAACCATTATTTCAGTCCTGATTGGCTTACACTCCCCTTCAAAAGTTTGGCAACTGGCAATCCCATTTGTGTTACAGGCTGTTTTGGCGATTTAAGCAAATTCATCAAAGTCATAAGTTTCCGACCAATTCTAATTCAGGAAGAAAAATGCAATTCATAAACATTAACATATTTTAAACAAGCTACAGAAAGCAGAGTTAAAACTTATGAAGAGTTGTGTATACAGGTAGGGGGTATAAGGAGGAATATGACATATATTCATGGTTTCGCCATATTTGTGATACGGATGAATATGCCATATGGCATATTCAGCAGGTGAGATGTCATATTCCGCAGTGAATATACAGGACATTGATTTCAGTGAATACCCGATACTCACCTGCGGAATTTGTCATACTCACCCGCGAAATATGCCATTTACCGCAGTTGAAAACGAGATACAGAAAGGCTCGATTTGATTGGTCAAAATAATCGAGTCTAAATGGAAAACTACGCTGGATATATTTTAGTGCTTTCTAATATAATGAGTTCTAATATGAATGAATCCTGTAAGTTTATTGAGTGTAATAGCTTAATGATACTTCTGAAAGTATCAGAAATGTGTAAATCGTGGTTGCCAATACCACAATACATAAATACTCGTGATTTTGCAGGTTTTTATCTGGTCTTTGTCAACTGTTGATTTTTGCCCGTTCGTTCAATCGATGCAACTGACAATTGCGTACTTGCGTATCGCGTTCTCATTGGTTCGTGAGTATGCCATATACCGCAGGCGAATCTGTCATACACCGCAAGTTATAGAACAGGTTTGACACATACAATGTATTATCATTGATTTTGGCTGTATGTATATTGGAGGAAAACATATAGCTATCAGCACAAATTATATTGTATTTTTGCATATTTAATGACCTGGCTGTATTATTCATCCTCCGAACGCAGGGTTCCAGACACCATCCACTAAGGTACGAGCTCTGGAACCCTGTGTTCGGAGGATGGTATTATTAAATGGATAGGTTTTCTAAATAATAGTATTGCAATGTATAATTGTTGAACTTCCATGTTATTGCAATGACATTTTCTTGAAAAACAAGCGTTTTATTCAATTATTGCCCATGATAATTTATGTCAAGTGACCCAATAAGAGAATTGCAAATCATATGTTGGCCATGAAGTCAGATTATGTCAGGTCATTTCACTCCTTTTGTTCAAATAACCTATAAGCGAAACTCATTGATTGGTCATGAATTTAGATGATATTTGTCAAATCATTATTTTTCAAATAACTAATAAGAGTACTGCAAATCATGCATTGGCTATGACATCGCACGATATAATATTTCATGTAATTTTTTCAAATAACCAATAAGAGGAGTGCTAATCATTAATTGGCCATACAGTCAGATGATGTCAAGTAATTCTTTTTCAAATAACCAATAAGAGGAGTGCTAATCATTAATTGACCATACAGTCAGATGATGTCAAGTAATTCTTTTTCAAATAACCAATAAGAGGAGTGCTAATCATTAATTGACCATACAGTCAGATGATGTCAAGTAATTATTTTTCAAATAACCAATGAGAGGAGTGCTTACGATAAGAGGAGTGCTAATCATTCATTGACCATACGGTCAGATGATGTCAAGTAATTCTTTTACAAATAACCGATAAGAGGAGTGCTAATCATTCATTGGTCATACGGTTAGATGATGTTCAGTAATTCTTTTTTAAATAACCAAAAAGAGGATAGCTAATCATTCAATTCTGGGTAACACAATAACACAATAACAATCATTACATATCATTACAACTAGTAACCAATAAAACTAGTCCAAACCAATCATTGGTTATTAAATTAGATGTCATGGACGTCGAGCCATTCTTTTCTTTTTAGAAAAGCAAAGAAATAAAATTTTGGACTTCTTCCTTCAATTATGTACCCTTTTCAAGTGTACGACTTCGCGTCTCTAAAAATACATTGTCTTAAAGTAATTACAAGTTGCCTCTGGGTCACGTGATATTAATATTGAGAAACATAACAGTGGAGTTTATACATGTCTAATAAACCAGTACCGCTGGTTAAAGTTTGTTCTCCTAGAGGCAATGTTGGGCATGTTTTTTATGATTATAAATGGTAATACACTGGAGGACAACTGATCGATTATGTCTACAAATATTATTTTATTTATCTTTCAATTTTGTTACGAATCCCTCTTGTCATTAGTCAATGCCTCCAAGCAATCACGTCCAACTACAAAAAAATCCACGAAGAAATCATTCATTATTTTTTACAAAATGAATATGAAGTGGTCATTCTATTAAAAGGTCCCATACGTTTGTTGTTCGGATTTTACATTTGTCTCTACACACACGGGAATGAAAAGAAAACTCCATCGGTCGACAATATTACTGTTCATCCGAACGTTTTCAATTATCGATAAGTTTCTTGCCAAGATTTTAGGCAACGTTTTGGCCCTTGTGGATTGTGGCTTTGGGACTGATGTGCGTGCGATCGTTTAAAGAGAGGTACTTTTTAAATTGAGGTTAGATTTACTCCACGATTTCCTTATTTACCATGAAATATAATTACCCTTTGGTTATAACCATGTCATTTTGATGTCTGTGCATTGGGTGTATTGGTGTCTTTCGATGGGCAAGGGAGGTTTGTTTTGTGTGCGTTTGATCATACATAAGTTTTGCTGTTGGCGTTTTTGTAACAGGTTGTTCTTTGATTTTTCCTTACATTTCCTTAAATGTATCTTTTGTCCTTTTTTTTTTTATATTTGATTTATTTCATAGTAAAATAGAATTATTACATACACATGTTGCGGCTTTGCAATGAAGCATTATAAGCCACAATTAAATAATAACAAGATTTAAAAAGAAAGTATGACAATGAATTTGCAATAAACAAAAGAATTATTGTGTACAAAATTATACAGTTGGTGGTGGAAGAAATACTTACACTTGTCCTTTGTTTTTTATTATCAATAATTAAAATGTTGTAATGATATTATATGCCTTGGCCTTTTAAATACCCAGGCTTATGCTATACTTATACTCTCATATAGTGTTCGTTTAGGTTGTGTCATCGATCATCGAAAATGATTTGTACAAAGACACTTCTTTCATTATTGTGGCTATGACTGCCAAGAGGGAGCATTTTGTGCCACATTCAGGCCCGTAGCTAGCCAGGGGAAAAAAACTTTCAAAATCATGCATTTTTCATCATATTCTGGGCACTTTTTAAGTGATTTGGGCCATTTTTGGACCAAAATTGTCACAAGTGAAACCCCCTGGAATTTTTCAAAAAGTGAACCCCCTATCCTTGGCAAATCCTGGCTATGGGCCTGACATACATGACACAATGGTGACATGATATTATTAGAAATGTACATGGAATTGCGGAACGTATTGAAGGTAATTGAAAGTCGAGTGTTTTATGAAATGGTTAAACGTCTCTTCTACAATAACAGGTGCATAGGTGTGAAAAGTAACATAATATATATTTTGCTGCAGATGACGTTTAGTAATCTAAATACATTCAAAGGTAACACTTTAAATGTATGTTCTGTAATTGCGAACATTGTGTTCAGTTTTTGTTCAGTTTGACCTTCACTATTGCTAACTTATCATCCTGAAAAAAGCAATAAAAGATGCGCGATTTGCATCTACTCTGCATTCAGGTCTCGTCATAAATCCGATGGGATAATGTACACAGGAATGTCCTTGGACTGGAATGAAAGGATTTCCGTAAAGTTATCGCCACAAGGACATACTGACCTTATGGATGATGATATTCCTAAGTCTGATTTATATATTGATGAAACATCTTTCAAATGGCTATAAGAAGTGCTCGAGCGACAATTTTATTTCTTTCCAATAGTTCGCTCACTTTTTACAATGAAAAGTGCTCGGGTAGTAATTTTCCAATTTATGGTCAGACCACTTCAAAATAAAAAATGACGAGCAACTATTTTCCACTTTATGCTTTGATCACTTGAAAATAAAAAAATATTTTCATTTTATGGTTTGATCACCTTATGGCATTTTGATTTATCAATGCTTTAGTTGCTCAAAATCATACTATAGAAATCTCTGGAATTCGAAAATGCTTTAGGTTTTGTTGACGTGACAATAATCAGCCTTGATATTGCAAAATACAGATCTGTAGATGCAATTTCATTAAAGCATTAATCAAGTATATTACAAATGACAGGCATGCATACTTTGTATAGTCAAGTATTGAAAAGGTAATCCTGTTAAAATGATGAAAAAAGAGCTTTTTTACAGTTTCAAACGACTCAAAAGCCGACACTACTGGTATCTATCATGTATTTCAAAGTTTATCTGTTTATATGTATTAAACGAAGTAATTAAACGAGTGACTGCTTTAAAAGTGTGTTTGACTGTTTGCGTTTGTAATACTTTGCAGATGAACCACTGCAGTGGGAAACATCAGAATATTGAAACTTTAAAAACATCTGTGGAACAAGAGAATATCGCCCCTTAATAATAAAGTCATAACTGTTCCGAACTATTAAACATCAAATATTATGACCATAATTCATTCCTTTCCAGAAACGTTCTTATCATTACTTTGAGAAAACCAGATACAATATTCGCAGAAGTTATATTTTCTTCAACATACACCTGCCGATAGATTGAGAATGTGTTCATTCATCTTTGACTTTCCATGGTATATTTGGGAAGACTGATTGGTTTTATAACATGGGTTCTATGCTCGACCTAGAAGTCACATTTTCAAGAAAATTCAAATTTCAAAGTTGATAAACAATTTTAAGACCACATTTCTAAAGGTAATTGTATATGTTAATTTCAAATATGATATCAATTTGAACTTTGAATTTTTAAAAACTTTAATCAGGATGACTTCTACTTGTATGTTGTCTTAAAAACACAAAACTTGCTAAATATCCTTTTCAATGATTACTATGATTTA